CCCCCCCCCCGCTTCTCCTAATTTTGGGCGAATGGAATTAATAGAGTGGTAGACAATGATCGTCATTCATACTCCCTCCGCCACCTTCGTCGGTCTCCCAGTTTGTTCCGAAAATACAGCAACCCCACACTCAATATGTACATAACAATCCCTGCTCCATCCCCATGATTATTAACAGCCTATGGTCTGTTCTTGACCATACGGCAGGAGACTCATAGAGTATCACGAACTAAACGGATGCCGATCCAAGGATATGGGTAACCTTTCTGCCACCAATTGAGACTGCTTGAGTGTAAGTAAAAAGCGCAGATGGTTACGAAGGCAAGTACACATACAAAGTCTTCTTCCCAGAGATGCGCGGATGCAGCGCCCATGACCCACCGACAACAACAATGTGCTTGCCGTCCATAAAATCGGCTATGATACTGTTAGAAACCAGCAGATTACACAAGGGAAATAACGAGGACTGACCACTATAGCCGGGATAGATATCCATTGGTTTGAATTTCGGCTGAGGCTCAAAGAATGAGCTTGTCCACTCGTAAGCGCCGCCCAAGTCGCCCTGACCTGAAAGCCTGTCGCCGTTTTGCGTGACGGGGGTTGGATGGAGATTTTGAAAGCCAACATTGCATGCTGTTAGGTCTGTGTAAATATCATCCCGAGTCGACTTGGATACTGTTTCCCTAGTTTGGTGTTTATGTTAGCACTGTATGTGGCATACGGAAGACGTCTAGTCTTACTTCTGGGTTTTCTCGGCCTTTTCTTCTTCAACTTGCCGGTGAATACTGCGTGCTTCGTGCAAGGTAGGGAGCCGTGTGCCTGCCCATTCCGCATATCCCACTGCTTCGTTATACGATGTGTAGACCGGCCAATCGAGCGCAAGCCGAAGAGGAAGAGGGCCATATACGGTCTTCACCGTGAGGCTGTTGACAAATTCTTCAACATTGGGTTCTCCAAGAGGGTTGCTCGCAACGTTTCTGTCGGGAACTCCAGGCGACCCGGTTGACCACGTCACCGGCAGGCAATCTTTCCGGGACGTTTTAACAAGGTACGTAGCATAGTCCAGGATAGACACAGGCCGTGCCTGTGCCTCGAATCCTTTAACAGATACCTCATATGGGTTGCGCTCATTATCCCATGCGAAGAAATCGTCTGGACTGAGGGCACTATCGTCATCTGTATCTTCGATGCCAATTGTAAATGTTCGGGGCTTAATGCCGAACCATTGATTCTCTACTCGATCTCGCACCGCCTGTTCAGCCATGCGGATGAAATCCGGTCTGGGAATTCCAGGAGGTGGCCGAATATTCGGACTCATAAGAGTCATCCATAGAAATGTTTCTAGGTGGAGCCCTGATGAGAGTCAGTGGAACTGGACTGAATTATGTTTCTGTTATCATTTATACCTTCGTGTTCAAAACCAATCCAAAGCGCTCGACCAATCGATCTATCTTGCCAAGGTTTCTGTGTCTGGTAAAGTGTTGTAATTCTGGCGCAGACCTTTTCCCGGAAGTCCAAGATGTCGCTCAATTCTGGCCATGTATTTGGAATCTCACTATGATCGTGACAGTTGGAAGGGTTATCCACGTCGGGGTCTATTCCCCTTTCAAAAATCTGTTGATAATACTTCGGTTCGGTCGGGGGAGTTTTGGTCGCTCGTGCTAAATGGATATCCTCACTGGGGTTGTCAGAACCTTTTCTCCCGGCAAGCTCAGTGAAGAGATAGAAGGTGTATGTATACTCACAAAGTGGGTATATGACCAAGGTAGAAAATAAGTGGATTTCGCAATGCAATAGGTTGTTCATGCAAGGCCTCTTTTGGGAACATTTTCAACGTTACGAGATCCCATGCTGCCCAGAGTTTCCGCCATTCTTCAAGGGTTGGGACGGCCCCTGGCGCATAGTCTTTTGGCTTGAGTGGAAAAGCATACTGTGAAATCTCCGTGGAATTCGGAGTGTCGGGATAGCTCGCACCCATGGCTTATATTGAAGCCCACAGCACCGCCGGAATGTGATGGTCTAGCTCAGGACAGTAATAATTTGGAATGTAGCATCAGGGTGTATGTTTCATATATAATGAACACAGCAGGAGAAAGTGCTGACATTGCGGAGGGTTTATGTATATATATATTCTCTTTTTCTCAGAGAAAGCCAGTCGCTACCATAACTTGCTCCTCTCACCGAAAATTTCTAGGACTAGAATGGGTTCGGCTAAAAAGCATCGATCGACGATCAGCAAGTACGGAGTAGATCGCGGAGAGAGCGATCAAATAGAGGATGAGTATTGCTTCCCAAGATTGCCGAGAGTGGGTACACTACAGCAACCTATCGAATAGCCAGTGGAGTCAGCTGAAATATCCACAAGGTGGCTGGCTGTGATGGAAGATACTAAAGTGTGTTCCCTGAACGCCTAAAGAATGTATCTTCAGCTGTTATAATTGGGTCTTATTTGCACCTACTAGGACCCATTCAGGCCCGCCCTACAGGTTTTCAGTTGCATCAAGAGCAGAACCGTCGTGTAGACGCACTACTATATCTGCATGGTATGAGTCGATCCACGTACTCGATCGATTGTGGGGAAAATACGGCTTGGCGTCCCCGGAATGCTGAAAAACATGATGATGTTGCTGAATCAAGGACAACACAAGGCTTGGCCTTCTTTGAAATGCACTTAACATGCATATTAAATACTTTCAGTCCGCTCCTTCTTTTTTCTCGGACTTCTCCATTTTGAAGGTTCTGCTAAGAAGTAACTGTGACATGCTCCCCAGATTGAGTTCAGCGACGTGTCACGCCTGAGCTCTATCCGCGTTTTGAGGGCAAAGCTGGCGCCTTTGTTTCAGAAAACAAAGAGGTGGGACTACAACACTAGGATAGAAGTCTCTGTTTTCGGTCCTGGAATTCAGAATTCTGTTACCATGTGAAAAGTGTGATGCTGCCAAAGCGTATGTTGGTATGAGGATAGACTAGTTCGCGTAAGGATCGGACGATTGACTGTTGTGGGGACAGTGACACTCCCTGGGTGTATATTATCTGCGCTTGGCTTATCGTATAAGGATATACCTGTCTTTGTTTATACCGTCTGAAAATGTAATGGTGCCTTTCCTCCATCTCGGCTCTGTCTATCCTAGACAATTCCAAGGAACTCAGCCCGGTAAGGCTGGAGGCCTGGAATCCGGATAGCATTGTGGGTAGGCCCGGAAGTTTTGGGGATACATTCCAAGGGCGGGGCGATATGAAGGAAACCTAGAGTCCTACGAGCCCCATTTAATGGAAATGAGCCCTAATGTCCCTACTAAATGGGCCTGAACTTAAACCACTCCGTGGTAGGTACTTATAGCTCAGTGTGGAGATACTTGATTAAATGCCCTACCTATGCAATATTGTCCAATAGCAGCTCCCACTGAGACCTTTGAGAGCTACACATAAGGAAAAGTGGAACTTTGCAGTGGCGAGACCCAGCGGGTATATAGCTAGAACCCTATCCGGGCTAACAAAGACGGGGCAACAGGGCACTGTGCCGCGATCCTTTCAAGCCGTGCCGATGATCTTATACCTCCCTATATGTCTCCGCTTCCTGGGTTGAGATATGGAAATACAGACCCTGGTCTACTGGTAACGATAAACATAAAAGGATAGCAAAATCCTGGATCATCGAATTCCTGCTGTATCACTGAACAGAATAACCCCAGGCTCAAACCGCTCGCAAATCCTGCAAAATGAAGCTACTCTACACCATTTCTCTTCTCGCTGTCGGCTCCATTGCAGCAGCAGAAGATAAAACCAACGCGACATCTCAAAGCACAACCGAGGCTTCAAAGGGCCTGGCAAACTGCCATATTCCCGAACTGAGGAAAGGGCATGTTCTCAGGGCTTCGTGCTTTGCCGATGGGGCCAAGCAAGAACTTGTCCATAGCGAGTTGGACTTGAATCACTGTTTCGGCGCAAGCCTTTTGAAGGGTGAATTGACCGCGGAGCCTGAGTATGTGTTACTTCTTGCTTAAATAAGCTTCTTATACTGATGACTGATATACAGTGGACATTTCAGCAGAAAGTGCGTGAAATGTAAGTTAGGGGGGGAAGCTCGTGGTACTGGAACCCACGTGGGGGCATGGTCACTGTACTGCCACTGTGTTGCTCCTAAAGCCGAAATTCAGTTGGGTAAGTTTATCCTGACAGTATCTTTTCTGCAACTGCCTGTATCGATCTATTTGGTGTCTTGTGCTAATTTGTCAATAGAACCTACCGTCTGGATGAACAAGCAGGGTCTTCTTGAGTGCCACGGCCATGTTGGAAAGCCAATGAGCTTGTAAGCCCTTGATGTGGAGTGGATACTGCCACTGGGCGTCGCAGACCGGGAGGCTTCTCATGTTTCACCTTTAAAGAGGGTTAATGTCTTGGCCCGATAGACATGTCGTTGCATTGTGGTGAGGGAGCATCCCCGTTGCGCAATACACACTGAGCTGCGCAGCAGTCTATATCAATTTTAATTGTACGGAGGATTTAGATTACTAAATAATGAGCTACTGGTTCATCATCAAAAGCTTCACTAGGACAGCCGTGAATGTTTTAGTAGTTGTAGTAGCGAAGGACAACACTAATACTATAGAGCATCGGCGATTTCTATTATGCTTTGGTAAAGTCTAGACCTGTCGACATGCCTGATTACAGTTATAGTCAAACGTACAATCTTTACTAACTAGTTTGATCTCTCAGCGGTTGCATCTAGCCCTTACTCTTTTACTGATTCGGATTTCGGAGAGAGGTCAGCCTTTAAAGGTTCACGTTTTTGTATTTAGGACTCATATTTCTTTTTCCTCTAAGTCCAATGGCGCTTATCTATAACTTCCCGTCCGGGTATTGGTGGGTGGGAATCATTTCTTCACCCGCATTTAGTCGCCTTAGACACTCCAGGATACCTGGGTATGTATAGTTATAGTCCGTGTACATCCAAAGATCCTGTGCAGAAGCCTTCTGGTGTGCCTGGCGGGTGTAATTCTGAATCTTCGATGCGCGTGGGCGTCGCACCCGATCAAAGTCCTTGAGCAAGTCAGGAATCCCCTCCCGCGAAACATTCGGTTGATTGAAGAGACGGAAGCCCTCCGCATCTTCAATCGCCTGGTTACATCCTTGACCCTGATGCGGCGTCATGGAATGTGCTGCATCTCCAACGAGGACTACTCGCCCGCGCCGGTATGTAGGTAGAGGATCTTGGTCCCGAAGCTGCCATACTTTGATATTCTCCGCAAGACTGAGCACATTTCGAACGCTAGGCGAGAAGTCCCCGAAGCATCGCAGCAGGTCTTCTCTAGAGCCTTCCGCAGACCAAGACTCCGTTGTAGCCGTCTGGAGAATCGTATCCGGTGTGATACAACCCACGTTCAGCAGTGCGTACTTCCGACACGGGTACATGATGACGGATCGACTGGAGCCATCCATGCTCAGGTGTATCTCCAAAGCACCAGGGTTAGCTGGATCCATCACGCGCAAGCCAGGCTGCTGCTCATCCAAGATCTCCCTAGGAATCGTGAACCTGAATGCTGAAGAGCCCGATGGACGAGCAGTCCGGAAAACTTCCTCTGCGACCACCAACGGTCGCACAATGGATTTAATACCATCAGCCCCTGCCGTAATTGTCGTTAACATCAGAAGGCGAAACTATATATGGGCTTCAAGGTAATATGGGATCTCACCGACGACCAAATCCGACTCCAGCTTCAGTCCACTGGAAAGAAATACATCACCGGACTCAACGTCCACGCTTACCACCTCTTGCCCCCACAGGATCTTTGCGGGCTCGCCAGAAATACCCAAATCGGCTGACGGGCACTCTGCTAGCCTCAGAAACTCGTTCCAGAGGTCTGCGCGATGTTGGAAGAGCCACTCTGCACCATATATTTCTTTGAGATGCGCCATACTTTCCGCACCCAGCAGTTTCCCATCTTTGTTTAGTGTCCGCGTCTCGCCGCATCCCACAGACTGACATCGAGTCTGGTTGAACCCAAGCTGTTCGATGATGCGCACCCCGTTTGGGCCGAGGTTAATGGCGGCGCCGACCTCATGTCCACCATGGAATTTCTCAACTAAGGTGACAGTGTGCCTCTCGCGCAAAACTCGTGCCACTAGAAGTCCGGCCAGCCCGGCGCCCACGATGGTGATTTTCAGCGGCTGATCCATATTTTTCAAGAGATTCCAGGTGGTAGGTAGGGAGAAGATGGGACGGGGTTCCTCGATAATGATGAAAAGTACAGTTTATAAAAAGGCCCAGTAGCAACTAGAGGTAGACGACAATCTAATGAATATTATGCAGGGTATTGTGTGGGGACCAGTGGTTGTGAATCGTTAGTGGCAGTTTGTCCTCACCACATCCCGAGCATTTGCCCACATACCCGAAAGCATCGGGAAATGGGGTTTGGAGTCAAGAGTCTAACCATGGTGTGCTCAATTGACGCAAGAAACACGAGTACAAATTGAAGGCTTACGCAACGCGACTTCATTAATTGGTGTTTCCTTTCGTTACCAACGCTATCCTCCGCCTTCACGTCGTGCTTTGGTTTCTCGATGGCTCAACAACAACATCTTATTCGCTCCGTCGAGCCGCTGCATATCGGCCAATTCTTGATTGTACGCGTAGAAATCGACCACGGAGTTGTGGGATATGGCGAGTGTGGCGTCTGGGGCCATATCGAAGCAGCCGCTACAGCAGTCCGTCACTTCGCGGGTTACCTGGTTAACAAGCCTGCATTCGCTATTGAGCACCACTGGAATGTCATGCACCGGTATAGCTACTTCCAAGGAATGGCCATTAATGGTGCTATCTCGGGAATTGATATCGCGCTCTGGGATATCAAGGGCAAGGTTCTGCAGGTCCCCATCTACGAGCTGCTGGGCGGATCCTGCCGCTCCAAGGCCAGAGTCTACGGCCATATATATGAAAAAGACATCGAAGGCGTGCTGAAGGAGTGCAAACGGAAGATGAAATTAGGATACACAGCCTTCGGACATATCAACCCGTTCTTGGACGAAGGGAACGACGTGTCGTATTTCAAGACGCACGTGAAAAAGATGGAAGACGCTGCCGATAATGTCCGTCGGATGCGCGCAGTCGTAGGGGACAAGGTCGATCTCCTGATTGAGCTCCACCGTCGTCTGACTCCGGCCGAAGCGATCACTTTCTGCGCCATGATCGAAGACTGCCGTCCAATGTACGTGGAGGACCCCGTGCGGCCGGAGAACGTGGATGCGATGGCCCGCGTCGCAGATAGAATCCCTGTTCCCATCGCTACCGGCGAGCGGTATTCGACCATCTATGAGTTCCAGGCGGCGTTGTCCCGCAACGCGTTGGAGTACGTACGAGTTGATGTCGCCTTGTGTGGGGGAATTACAGGCGCGAAGAAAGTGGCCGCCATGGCAGAGGCTCATAATGTCCAGGTTGTACCACATAACCCTCTGTCGCCCATTGGACTGGCCGCTTGTTTGCAGTTGGACGCCGCTATCCCGAACTTTGCCATCCAAGAGTATTCAACCGGGTTTGAGAATGGAATCTTCATGTCCACCACTGAGCACCTGGGCAGCAATATCGTGGACTGGGTGCCTCCCGTGGTCGATGGGTTTGTAGATATCCCAACTGGTCCTGGCCTGGGAGTGAATTTGGTGCCGGATGCACAGAATATTCGGCCTCCATTCACGCAGCCCATTGCCATGCGGCCTCATCTAGATGGGTTTGTGGTGGACCAATAAGTCCAGCTGCAGCTTTGCTTAAATTCCGATCTATATTTAAGTAGACTAGAGTAAAATACTAAGCTTCTCCTCCCCTCGCAATGGTTTCAAGACAAATAACCCCTCTCTCTAAGTACTCTTAGCAACACCCATTCCATCGACCGATTCCGTCAGCTGTTCTCCCCCTTCTACCTGCAGGGGTAAGATCGGCAACAACACGTAAAGCATCCTAGCCCAACCCGCCCGTTCCTGTCCATTCTCATCTACCGTCCGAGTCGCATTCTTCCAGGCGTGGTTTGTCCCGCGCTGGATCGCCAGATCCCCTCTCTTGAGCCGTCTAGTCTCCCCGCTGTCCAGGATCAATTCCACCTCTCCCTCCAAAACTACCCCGTAGTCAATGGAGACGGTGCGATGCATGGCACTGGCAACATCCGGTCCAATATCCACGATGCGACATACGGAGCCTGTCGAAATGGCCAGCCCGGGGCTATGCTCTAGGTAGTGCTGATAGGCCGTGAGGTCGCGGTCGGAGTTGAGGTCCAAAGGAAAGGTGTCCGTGGCGTAGGCGAGCGTGAACAAAGCCCCCGGGACCGTGGTTCGGGATACTTGGTCCGGGAAGGCGGAGGAGAAGACGGCAGTGCCGTTGGCATCGTGAGTGGTGATGAACCGGGTGATCTCAGGGAGTTGTTGCGGATCAGTAGCTGGAGTAGTAGGCGCTGGCGCTGAAGTGGACACTTCGGTGGGAGAGTTGTGGTGACTCATTTTCTTTCCTGAATTTCTGGGTCCTACAAAAGATATAGTTCTCGTTTCTCCTTTCGAAAAGCTTGCTTGTGTCTTCAAATATTGTGTGGTGGGTATTTAATCATCTTTATATGTCCTTATAGAGTCTCATCGGGATGTGGGGGTTTTGAATGATTTTTAATTCTAAGATAGAGGGAAATATAGCACATCGGGGCGCAGATACAGGCCCTAAGGTTTGCATTGTGGCGAAAATGACCTAGAACCGGGAATAAGAGTGCTTCATGCCTGTGGAATAACCGGCAAGACGACATAGTTCAAATGGTCTGGTCCAAAGTGGATATGGTTCGTACCTCCGAATCTCTCATGGGACCTTCAGATATATTGTGGTTAGAGAAGGGAGAAAGGAGCAAGGCTGATGAGAACAACTATACCTTTCGGAAGATTCATGGCTGAAGATGCCCACCCCTTGAGTGTCTCCGCCACTAATTTCAAAGGACAATTTCTCCCCAGGACTGAGGATCAGGTTGGTTGGCCATATTTCGACATCTACGCCGTAGATTTCGCCTGGGATGACGGGCTGCACATCGGTTGAAAAGTAGTCACGGTAAGGATGATACTCACGATGATGGGGATGTTGCTTGTTGATCTTGCGGAGGCTGACGCGCTGCCAGCCTTTGCTGACGGGGACGGGATTACCGATGGATCCAGTGTAGAAGATCTCTTGGCCATCCGCCGCCCAGTGTCGAATCGTCAGGAATATATCGATGTCCTTCGGCACAGGACCTCCCAAATCTGGGGTTACTGAGACATGAACCCGGGCCACGATGTGGCCGGTAATTTCCAGCTCTTGCGTTGCGGGAGCAGTCTCAAATCGAATATACTCGTTGTCATCTGGGACGGTTAGAGCGCGATAGGAGAGTCTAGTGTGATAACTGGGGCATGGTGGCTCGTTCGGGGTCCACGTTTTCTGCGGAGTCAAGTAATACTTGGTGTAGACAGTGCGTGCCAACGGCCACTCATTTTCAGCCCGCCGGGAATATACTTGTCCTGTGGCTGCGGGAATAGAGTCATACTGGATCACTCCCTTCCGGAGGATGAGGTCAACCTTGGGCATATTTCCCGCTTTCCAACCTGCATAGTCATCATCTTTGAGGAAGGCACTCAGGAAGCTCTTCTGGATTTCAACCTCTTCACTGGAGTAGAAAGGCAGATCATGGCGACCCACAACCATTCGCAGGAACTTGTACTGAGAGCCTGCATGGAGATAGCCCTCGATATTGCCACGCAGATGAACCACAATGTTGCCCCAGTTGCCGACAGAAAGCAGGGGTACCTCAATATCCTGGAGACAGTAGTCACGAGAGGCATAGTACTCATCGTCGCGGAAGAAGTGCTGCGCGTTGTCCACTGCTTGATTACGTAGGTTGGCCTGGAGCTCTTCCTCGTTCAGATCACCCTCGATTGTATCGGGGCCCCAATTCTTTGCTGCCTTGCCAGGAAGACCGTAAAGGTTTGACTTTACCTGACGGTCCATCCAAAACTTCAAGAAGGGGGCTGTGAGGATTCCACCATGGCGGCAACGATCCCTGTAATAATCCGCCATTCCTTCATAAGGAATAATCGCAGCCAGACCCCGTGGCCGCCTGGCAGCAACCCGCCATTGAGTACCTGCAAAGTAGCTAATACCGAGCAACCCGACCTTCCCAGTTGACCATGGCTGATCCGCCGCCCATTCAATAACCTCCTGGAACGCCTCGCTGGTAGACTTGGACATCGTGTCGCAGACTCCAGGCGACTGGCCAATCCCAACCTCATCGGCCCGGACAATCGAATATCCCTCCTTTGTCCAGAATGCTGGATCGGGTACCTCGAAGGCCGAGTGCTCTGATTTATGTTCAGGGTTCAGGTCATGGAACGAATGCGGAAGGAAACTATACGCGGAGGTTAGCTTCTGAGGTCCTTACCTTGGGATTGCCTTGGCTAGAGTCTCTTACTTCTTGTAAGGGATATCCTTTCCATACGGCCCATAGGTGATGAGCACAGGGCACCTGGAGACAGTTTTAGGGCGGTAGACATTGAGGCGAACCAGTCCTGGTCCACTTTGAAGCTTCACCGTATGATTTTCCTCGTAGATATACGGGAAGCTGTCGGTATCCACCTTGAGTAAATCTAGGATTGTGTTAGGCATCGTGGGAAGTAGTTAATCCGTAAATTGCTCTTGACGCCGAGTAACAAATACTATGGGTTCCTTGTTGGGTATTCCTATACCTATATATCTTTACGGGAAGAGGGCACCCCCTTCGGCATGTGGGCAGCCCCCGCCCAGCACAACGAAACGTGGTGCTGATTGTGGTACACACATTAATCTATTCTCTGTTTAAGCTTATCACCTATGTATCCATGGCTAACTACTGGCTATTGGTCTCTCTCTGGCTCCAACTGAGACCAGAACTGAGGGCATACAGACACTCCAACCGTGGAATGGAGACCCCATGCTCTCTCCCCAAGTAGACCAGTTCTCCCACAATTGCATCCACCTCCATAGGCTTATTCGACCTCACATCCGCTAACATACTCGGTTCAACTCCGGGCCACTCTCTAGCAGAGCTCCGGTCCATTTGCATCGCCACATCCTCCAGTCCGATCTCGGATCCATAGCCCGCGGCAACCGCTACATCCACCACTTCCTCCATGACGCTCCGAACCATATTCGTTGCGACAGGTGACGCTTTAAGAAACTCGAGGTCACGGCACCGCGAAAGGGCACAGATGGTATTCCACGAGGCATTTCCGATCAATTTCCTCCACCTCGCTACTTGAACATCTGGGTAAACCTCCACTGTAGCCCCACCCGTCTTCATAAGAGCGGCCAGCTTCACAGCTGCGTGGTGATGGGATTCCGGAACCCCGCCTGCTGGGAATGTACCAAGTTGTAAGCGTTCTACCTCCGTGTGGTGAACGACGCCCGGTGCGGTTTGCGTAGTTGGCAAGTATGCGACGCACGAGATGATCGGGTTGTGTGGGAACCGTTCACTATACTGCCGCTCTATCCCAATCCCGTTTTGGATGAGAACAATCGTCGTAGATAGTGACACTAGAGGAGCTATCAGAGCCGGGACAGAGCCGTCGGTAGTCTGTCGGGGAAAGGCTTTTGTCGTCACTAGGATATAGTCGTAAGGCGCTTCTTCAGAGTTGGAGACGTTTTGCACTGATGGATAGAGTTTTGGATAGAACGTCTCACTGCTGAAGATGGTCGAGTGAACGGTGAACCCGTTCGCCTTTGCCGCTATGTAGTTGGATCGGCAGATGCAGGATAGATCCACGCCCGAGCGAGTGAGGATCATGGAGTAGACAATGCCGATACTTCCAGTTCCAAACACGAGGACGCGAACCATCTTTGGAGTATGTGTTTCAGCCATTCTTTCGCGATTAGAATCGATGGGTGCACCTAAGAGCAGGCGCGAGGAGAAGGGGAGAAATAGTATTACATTAACCATGATCATTTCTAGCCTGAATTATTTTAACTCTGAAATAAAAACACTGCTCGGGTGTGACGCATCCCGCCACATTGCCGAGCTGCCCGAATCTACATTAAGTGTGCCATACGTGGCCGTGACAAAGCTTTGAGGATAATGGCTTCACTCATAGAGCTTATTGTAACCAAAGTCACAAATAATACTTGAGATATACAGCCTACTACGTAGTGTGGAATCCATACGAGTTACTATAGACTTATATACTAACCTCAGGCCCTGATTTTTGAAAATATTTCCGGTAGTTGTACTACGTAAGGGCTTCATGCTATTCCATCTCTTTGTATAATATTACTCATAAGTAGGAATCACTCGATAGGTTGATTAAGAATGATCTGTTCAGATATATTGACCTGATACATGGACTATTTTCAAGGCTGCGGCCTCAGCTAGTTATTGAAACAGAAAGTGTAAACTGGCTACGCCTAATCTAACCACTCCTCTGGCCAAGCACCAAGACAAAACTGGGACTCGCATTGGCTCCTCTGTAGCAATGTTAGCGTTCAGGGCTTGTACACGTACAAATGACGACGAGACTTACCAGTTCCCACGCTTCGGCCCCGAGACAGCCTTTGGTACCTTTATCCTCAACTGAAGATACAGCCCCGGCGACAAAGCACCCAGAAACATAGTGCTCATCCGTGCCATGCGCATCTCGGAAGTATGGGTGTTTCATCAGCCTGGTCAAACCTCTTTGCAGTTCCGGCCCTCCTCCGTTCTTGCAAATGATGTCCTCGAGGGACTGACGAAACTCGACTGTCTTGGGCTCCGGCGGCCGCTCCATAGCGAAATTGTCTTTATACTGCAGCATGTATTTCCATTCCGTCAGATACAGGTTATGCACGCCTCCACCCGACCCGATTAGGAGATATCGCTCCTCACGCAGATGACGAAGGGCGGCTCCGATGCGAGCGTGGAAGAATGGGTCCCAGTGGGAGTTCTGGGAGATAATTGTGACCGGGGGACATTTGTCCTTGAACATCCCGATCAGCAGGGGGACCGTGTCGATCATCCAGTTGAAGTTGGGGTCCGGATCTACGTCAAATCCCTTGGCTCGGAGGGCGTCGATGACGCGTTGGCCTGTTGCGAGATCCGGATTCGGCCTAAAGCTTGCCCATAGATCGGGGAGGGTATTGGAGATAGGCATGATGCTTGGGTTAGGATTCATGGCCACATGAATCTTGTCTTCTAGGCTGTTCCAATGAGCGCCCTAGATAATAGTTAGGAAAAGACTGAGAAACGTAATAATGTGTGATTGGGAGAGGAAGGGCGTTTGGGATCATTATTTCTTACCATGATAATTACACCCTTCACTCCGTGGCGCAGTGCATCACGGCCCAATGCCTCCCAGTAATCCCGGGTTCGTGAATCTGTGCCTAGCATCATCGTTGTTCCATGGGAAAGAAAGAGAACGGGTGCCAGATTCGGTGCTGATTTTATGAACAAGTTAGTGTATGAAGACGTAGATATAGAGGCACCTGGATATGCGTACCTTTCGACATGTCGATATTATTTCCCATGTTGAGGTCGAGGACAAGGTAAACAACGTATGCAAACAGTAGCGATATGTAATGTAGTATACAAGCCCTTGTTGTAGAGCGAATGGAGATCAGTCCTTCTTTTCATTGAATATGGTTAGGAGTGTACTATTCCTTAGAAGCTGATTAGGCTCATGGCGGCCTCTGTGCTTCCTCCACATGCCGTACTATGGATGACGCACTGCCCCATAGCTGTAAGCCCCAAGTTCAAGGGGAATACAACACACTTCGGTTGCGGAAGACTTACAACTGGCTCTCAGAGGCACTGGCCCATTACAGCGTGTATCATTACGATCGAGACAAGTTGCGGGATGGCAAATAAAGCTAAGCTGGGTGATCAATGGCAACTTTCATTCACCTTCTCTGTATTTTCTCTGTCTCCTGTAATCTTCATTCCCGAGACTATACCTGTACATTTATTGAACAAATTCTAATCTTATTGCTAAGGCATGGCTACATGCAAGAACGAGCTGACAAGCCTTGAAATGACTAGACCTAGGTACTCTGGGGTCAGCGGTAACATGGTAGTAGACTGCTGAAGACAATATACATGAGCTTTCGATTGAGATTGTGCAATTTTAGCAATTTGACAACGCATTGGTGGGTGAGAAAAGATATCCATCATAAAATATGATAACTGATAGAAACCTCAAAGATTTACCACTCTCCAGCTACCTTGTATAGGAACTTCGCGTCTGGTCCGTATATGTGGTATCCTAACAATCTTGGGACAGCATATGCCCACTAAGCCCAGTCCATATGTGCATCAGTATCCATACGTGTAAATAGTTCCAGCTTTTGAATACTAACCTGAAGGAGCCGGCATCCACTGAACATATTCCAGAGAAAGAGTCTCATGGGCAAGGGCCCACCAATCTCAACCCACTGCCGATGAACCTGCGGGGGCCGATGAGGAGGTACCCGACGATGGTCAGTCAGCCAATGCGGTGGGTTTGTGTTCGGTTCTCTTCCCGTAACAGATGCGTTGGGAGTGAGGTATTCGCTTGTGTGCTCTGTCTCTGCAAGAGTGCTCCGCGACGTGCCTGGTGTCCGGGTTGCTATGGAAAGTATAGACTCGCCTTCGGACAGTGATGTTGTGATTGTCGCCATTTTGCTGATCCCAGTCTCACCTGTCTTACTGGACGACGTGCTGGTAGAGTGGTTGAAGGGGAAGTCTGTCGCTCAAGGCATTTGTATGTATGCGCTCCCGGGTTTCGGGATGTGGGCATACGGAACCTTGACAAGGAAGTAGCGGGATGCCCTTGATCGCTGCAGGTGACCTGTCTCTGGTCCGGTAAAGACCTTATTATTACGTAGGCTTGAATTCCAGATACAATAAAATCCTCTTCTACCTGTCGATGTAATCTATAATCCCCTCTCCCATCGCCCCAACCGGTAACGTGAGTGATAGTCATGGAGTCCACAAGCCTTGATCTGGTCTTAACTACCGCACTGGAAGGTCGAATGAAAGACTTGCGAACACGTCAGCGCATACTCAGAACTCTTCATGCGCAATTGATTGAGAATACGGATGATTTATTAAGAGCTACGGTGGAGGATGATCGAGTCTCTCGCGAAGAAGCCCAGGTTATACTTTCCGCTAGTCTTTCAGAGCTTCGCGCCCACTATGACAAACTCGACCTGAAGGAAGAGTTGGAGGCGGAGTATAGCATCGCAAGAAAGGAATCGTGCTTGAATAAGAGAGTCCCATTTGGCATTGTATACGTGGTTCCCGACGTATATACGGCAGTCTTCAGCATCATTACGGCGCTCTCCGCAGCCATCGCTGCTGGGAATTGTGTTGTGATAGAGGTAAGTTCGTCCTGACGATTGGGTCTGACGGACTAACATGGACGTATGAATAGCTCCAGGATAGTCTCCGTCGCAGTCCAAAAGTACTCCGTCACTGTCTTGCAGATCTGCAGTATAACGATGCCGTATCAACGGTCGCCAAACGACCTGGACCGGAGTTTATGCGCCATTGTCTTCTTGTACACCAAATGCTGGAGAACAATTCAAAGCAATCTGAATGTCTTCACTTGTTAGCCTCGACTCCTCAGAGGACCGTGGCCATTGTGGACCGGACAGCGGATGCAAATGCAGCAGCCAAGGAGATAGTGGCGTCAAGGATCCTATTCCAAGCCCAAGGCCGTTACTCTGTTGACCAGGTTTTTGTGAACGAATACATTATAGAAGCATTTCACATTGCCCTGACGAAAGAGATTGCCACATCTCTCACAATCAAAGACTCGAAGTTGAAAGCCAATGATCCCCGTGGAACAAATCGGGGACCAAAAGTGGCTTCGGAGAAGCCTGGATTACCAGTGCTAGAAATATGTGACAGGTAAAATGATAGCCTTCTTCTCAGGCTGACGACACTTACTCACTCCATCAGGTCCGATCCCCTCCTGCACCGCAGGCAGAAAACACTGGGCGTGATTATCCACAAGATAACTAGCTTGGACGACGCTATCGACACTATCAGTGAGAGCGGTCAACGACTCGGTGCTCTCTATGTCTTTGCAGGCTCCGACGAAGCGAAGTATCTATCCCAATTCATTTCATCGCGAGCAACCTTTGTCAATCACGTCCCCCCGGAACTGCAAAGTACGTGCTTTCTACTTTGATTAAGGCATGATGGTCATCCCCACTCACAGAAATATAGTTGGTCCTGCCTACCCTGAAGGGTTCGAGACGTCCATTGCCCTCAGATACACACGAGAGATGTTTGAGAACCCGCAGCCTGAAAGGGTGGATGATGGCAAGGTTCAACACTCGACGACACTGTGGAATCATATAAAAGATGGCAGATCTCCAGCAATCTTGTCTAAGGCTTGTCGTCCACTGAAACCCACGGGCCAGGGCAAGGCAGGAGCGATGGATTTCTTTTTGCAAGGCATGATATTGAACTTGATCGTGTGCGTCCTGCCCTTGACTGCTTTATCGGTGGTGGCCACAGGCAAGAGTGTTTCACTCCTATACCAGCGGTTCCTCAGCCGTTAATCAAGGTCTGTTACGTATTCGCAGGGTCTGGGTGCCATGTACAACCCATATCTGCTTCTTATCCACACAATGTGATGTCTTCTCAGAAGTGTACAGCCGAAGTCAAGCAGTCCCCAATTCGAACTATCTACATTGGGCGTAGATAATTCTGTTGATTCTATTAGTAAAATAACTTTGCATAGTTTTAGGTTTGGATTCCTCCGTAGCAAGACGCATGGACGCGAGTCGGGAAGTGGAGAGCAGGAGGTCCGAATTCGTTGGCACGACTCCACCTCCACAACGCCAACGAAACCCCACAGAAATTGTGGAGCACAGCAAAGG